TGCCGCGCGCTCTCCAATTGCGGTCTTTGATCTCGAAATGAGCTGATAATTAATAAAATTCAGCGCTTATCTTTTGATTTCGTTGAAGTGAACTCTTTTTAAATTTAAATTTAAATAGCCTATAGCGCGGGAATTGAAGACCGGATTTATATCCGTTTTGCGACAACACATTTATGTGGCCAAGTGTAAAAGGAAACGTTTTAACAAATCAGATAGATATCCGATCAGCGAAAACGCATGAAATGACCAGGTGTAAACAGGCCCATCTAGATGCCTAATATGAATCGAAAACGCAAAACGTTTCGTGACTCATCGTCACATTCACACACGATCACATTCTGATGCCATATTTTCAATTCAAAACAGCCATATTTGAGAAAAAAGTAGAGTAATTTGCATCACTGGATATTACTGTTGTTAGTTTCACATTTAAATCGTAAACAGTCGTGAAAAATTAAATGTTTCGCTACTTCTTACCTCGCTCTCTTTTAACGGTAAAACTGATGCTTCGCGTAGAAATTCGCGCTGAACAGAAAACTCCGCCTACTTTGATTTGATTGGCCATCATTTTGACACTGACGAGTGCTGTCAGACCGCTGAGGCAGAGCGGCCTAAACATTTAACTTTCAAACTTTTTTGTCATCCTAACAATTTGTTCATTTCTAATAATTGGGGGACTTGAAGGTGCTGTATGTAGGATTGACCGAGTGGTTGAACTAGGTATTGCAGTCCAAATTCTAAATATTGGAGAAGGTTTTTTTCACCCGGCCCCTCCTCCTCAGACTTGACGCACACGCAGGTTGCCAGATTGCCGGCACCAACAGGAACAAGCGCACTTGACGATGAATGATATAAAATACGCTGTGTTTCCCGCCAACTGGCAACCCGGGGTGCCGAAATACAATTGGGTAAACTGGCAGTGGGCGGGTTTCACAAACCAAAACAAAGACAGACATTCCATCCCGGAATGTACATTTTCAAAGGAGAATAACTGACTGTAGCATTGTTTTTCAGATAAACAACTCCCGCTCTACAAGCACCTCCTGCTGGCAGAGAATGAATTTGCATATATATGCCGCCACAAATAGAGTGCAAGTCTGTGGGAAACACCGCTTCTGTTATGAATATTATTCAATATTTTAATTTGAATGTCAGATTGGAATGAACATTGCTGTTATTAGAGTAGTTAATTGTTAGCATAAGCACGGCTAACGCTAATATAATGAACATTAGAATGAAGTTTCTTTATTAACTATTTAATGCTCCTATAACTTTTATTAGGGTAAAAGAAACAGGAGGACATGATGACATTTACTGTTTTTACACACCAGAGGCTTTTAAATGAATTGTGAATCTAAAATATGCGTGCTAGAGAATGTACAAATGGTTAACAGTTTGTGTCATATCAGACAGAAAACAGTTCTGGGCTTTTTATTTAAATTTTTTTTAGCTAACTTAGTTGTTATTCTTGGCTGAATAACTCTAGAAGGTTTTAAAAGCCCTTTAAAATTAAATATGTACACAGTTTGGATTAAATGAAAGTATAGTCAAATTTTTTTATTAGCATGTTTTTGTGTTTTGCTTTGGTACCGAGAACCGTGGATTTTCACTGGTATTGGTACCGAATACTGAAATTTTGGTACCGTGACAACACTAATCGGGAGTCACCAATCGTGTTTCGTTAAAATGCAATAACACACAATGCCATGTCCAAGCCACATATTTGGGAAACTAAATCAAGTTGATTCTGAAACAGTGTAAACAAATACCGTTCAAACTTCTCAAAGCATCTCGAGTTACCCAGACCTTCAAACAAGCCGCATTTGTTTGGGATTCTTTGCAACGAAGCGATGTCAAGATCGTAGTGTTCTGCTGGCAAACATACACTCACAGAGAAACACTAAGTTTACGTTAAAACAACACAAATCTCTGGTCTGAATTAAAGCAGAACACTTTTCAGGACCCAGTGCACTAGAAAACCAAATGTGGCCCGCCTGTCACTGAGGGTGTGGTTCATCTGTCTGCTAAATCAGATGTAGCAGGTCAATCAGTTAACCAGAACAGTGAATTCTAGCTGGGAAGCATTTTGAACTGTTTGCAAATAATATTTTGACACATTCACTCTCATTGGGCCTGTTTACACCTGGTCACTTCATGTGTTTTTTCTGATCAGATAGCTATCCGATCGTGAAAAGACCAGGTGTAAATCCCCTCCGAAACGCATTCGAGACTGATATAAATCCGATCGCTCAAACCACTTCAGGAGGTGGTCTGGGCCGCATTCCAGACGAAATTGGACAAGTGTAAATGCATCTGGTTGTTGAAACCACATATGTAAATTTTACTCCTCCCAAAATGTTAAAATAATAAACGTGTGAGAGCGTGTTATGCTATATGACATTAGTCAGACTGCGCTAACGCAACACGCATCGCTGCGGGCGAGTAGCTGAGTATCTCTTCAGCAAACCGCCGCGAATGAAACTGAAATTCGCAGACAGTCAACACACAATCATCTTCATTAAAGTAGTAAGACAAACTTATCTTTCCAGTGCTGATGCCGCGCGCTCTCCAATTGCGGTCTTTGATCTCGAAATGAGCTGATAATTAATAAAATTCAGCGCTTATCTTTTGATTTCGTTGAAGTGAACTCTTTTTAAATTTAAATTTAAATAGCCTATAGCGCGGGAATTGAAGACCGGATTTATATCCGTTTTGCGACAACACATTTATGTGGCCAAGTGTAAAAGGAAACGTTTTAACAAATCAGATAGATATCCGATCAGCGAAAACGCATGAAATGACCAGGTGTAAACAGGCCCATCTAGATGCCTAATATGAATCGAAAACGCAAAACGTTTCGTGACTCATCGTCACATTCACACACGATCACATTCTGATGCCATATTTTCAATTCAAAACAGCCATATTTGAGAAAAAAGTAGAGTAATTTGCATCACTGGATATTACTGTTGTTAGTTTCACATTTAAATCGTAAACAGTCGTGAAAAATTAAATGTTTCGCTACTTCTTACCTCGCTCTCTTTTAACGGTAAAACTGATGCTTCGCGTAGAAATTCGCGCTGAACAGAAAACTCCGCCTACTTTGATTTGATTGGCCATCATTTTGACACTGACGAGTGCTGTCAGACCGCTGAGGCAGAGCGGCCTAAACATTTAACTTTCAAACTTTTTTGTCATCCTAACAATTTGTTCATTTCTAATAATTGGGGGACTTGAAGGTGCTGTATGTAGGATTGACCGAGTGGTTGAACTAGGTATTGCAGTCCAAATTCTAAATATTGGAGAAGGTTTTTTTCACCCGGCCTGCTTTTATTATACCGTTGTTGATCACAAAGTTTTTTGGATGGATGTCAAGGCTTTTTAGGATGGGCAGAAAGTTCTATTTCCCGCTCTCACCCCTTTCCTTTGCCAGCTTCCATGAATGAAATGAAATACGCTGTGTTTCCCGCCAACTGGCAACCCGGGGTGCTGAAATACAATTGGGTGAACTGGCAGTGGGCGGAGTCACACAGACCAAAACAGAGACCGACATTCCGACACGGAACGCACAGTTTCAAAGGAGAATAACTGACTGTAGCATTGTTTTTCAGATAAACAAATATGTTAACTTAGCATGTTTCTTAAATATCTGCAAACATATTATGGTATTTTTATGCTTTAGTAGAGTCAAAAACTTACATACAGCACCTTTAATTGTCCCCCTCATTACCTAAGGTGGCTACGGCCCTGGTACAGACTGTTGAAGAGTGGTTTTCTCCGTCTAGCCGCTTTTTTTTCTCTCCCACTGGCTCGGGAAAAAACACTCAACAGTAACACGAGGTCAGAACGTACTTATCACAGTAGCACTTCTGTGCTGGACTTCCTGTTTGCGGTGATCGTTTTAGCATAAAACAGCTTAATCTCACCCGTGATGAGCAGAACACGCTCTCAGTGCCCTAAAAATACACATCTAGAGTTAGAAAATACTTGAACTTTACCAGCCCGTGCCCTCAAATACACTAACAAACACGTTACAGTCAACATGAAGGCAAAACAAAATGTTTCCGGTCTTGCTTTGAATGATTCATCAGTGCACATTATTCTGTTGGAAAAAAACCGTCTGGAACGACTTTGCTTTTCAGATGACGTCATCAGTCCCTCTTGTTTTTCAGCCACATGCATATGGAGACACTTTTGATTATACAATCAATTACTTTGAGAGAAAATCGTGGCTGACTGTGTTGTTATTGTTAACTAAAACTAAAGCTATTAAAAATAATTTTGATAATTGAAAACCTAAACTTAAAAAACCCTAAACAAAAATGGAAATGTTGCCTTTGCAACTAACCGAAATAAAATAAATCTACGTTTGGTTGAAGTACAATACCAACATTGAATGAAGTAACGCACTGCATGGAAAACTGCATCCCAAATGCAATCTTCCATATGCAAGATTGAATTAACAGTGAGGTCAGTGCTTCCTGATGGAAAAAAGGTAAACAACAGTTAGTGCATTATTGTTTCACATACTATTTCTAACGTAAGTGTATAATATACAACAGCTTAGTATAAGTGTATAAGTACATACTTTATGCAGTAAGCAAGTATTTAATCACAGCCAGGTTCTCAGCAGGTATAAACACTAAAAAATGAGAACAATAACATACACTCAGCTGAAGGAATTTAAAGGAATATATCAGCCAAAACTGAACATTTGCTATCAATGTCCTCACCCTCAGGCCATCCGAGATGTAGATGAGTTTGTTTCTTCATCAGATTTGGAGAAATGTAGCATTGCATCACCTGCTCACCAGTGGATCCTCTGCAGTGAATGGGTGCCAGTGAATGTTTTTATCAGCTGTTTGGACTCATTCTGACGGCACCCATTCACTGCAGAGGATCTTGGATGGCTGGAACACATTTTCAGCATTTACAATTTTGGCTGAACTGTTCCTTTAAGTGTGCACAAAAATCACAAACAAAAGACTCGGAACTGGCATCACTCACAAAGAGATTCAGAAGTTTATTAAAAAGGAACAGGGCATAAAAATACTGTCACATAAATACACAGACCGATGCTTTGTCAATCAAAGTAAACCTTCCGATGCAACTGGAGGGCACACGATGAAAGCACAGATGAACACATTTCACAGCATATATGATCTTGATTTCAGAACAGAAATATAACATTTGCAACTCCTTTTCCATCATTTTCTGAAGCAGATAACAGCATGAGCTCTATGAGGAATGTTCAGCGTTTGTCCGTCTCCATGAACACACGTCTGATATCACTTATCAGTCGCCAAAACAGTCCATCGCCTCGCAACCATTACTGCTACTGTCTTCATCTGAAGCCTTATCTGCTATTGTCTGGTTATCAGGTGCTGGGTTGAGTCTGTTGGATAACAGGACCGTTAACATCGCATAAACATCAGGACTTTTGGCTCCTTTGCTATTAGCCTGATTTTCACTTGCACTGGAATAAACAGCAGTGTTTTCTCCATGCATGTTTTCCTGGCCTTCAGTTTGACTCGTTTCTGAATGTTCTTCACATGGTGAACTCTAACCTTTGGCGATGCAGGAGTCGGTCTGTCCTTCTTTGTCATAATTTGCACCATTTTTCTCTTGAACACCATCATCTTCTGGAAGTCCAGCGCTGGAATCGATGTTTTTCTGACATTCATGAGGGGAAATATCAAACGTATCGTCTTCACACAGACTCCTACCATCATCAGTGAAAGTCTGAGTGCTGTCAGCTTCTTCAGGACCTTGAGAAACCATCATTATTTCTTCAGTTTTGCTGGTGATGTTCACTGAAACCTCTTTGTTCTGGTTCCCATCATCCACCTGAGTGTCCTGAACACTGTTATGAGGAGGACAGTCCTTCATCTCCACTTCTAGATTCGGGTTTCCCTGGAGCACTTCTTCATCACTGTCATCATCCTCATCATCATGCATTACAGGTATCTTTTTCTCAGTGTCATTATTGACACCATCATCATCATCATCCTCTTCATCACTTCGGATCTCTCCTTCCTCCAGCTCATCGTCCTCTGAGACTTTTGGCTTCTTCGCCACATGCACAAGAGCTTCTGGCCGTGGTCCAGTCGGGGAACATGAAGTTCTGGTGATGTTCGCTGATGCAATGCTTTGGACAGCACTGGGACGCTCTAGGAGGAGAAAAAAAATGCATGGCGAAAATTATTAACGGTGATTAATTGGATTAAACGGTGATTAGTCTAACAGTGTGCGAGAAAAGTTTAGAGAAAAGCAGTGTAAAAAATGTTTTGAAAAGTGTAAGATAAAAAAAATAAAAGATATGATTAACTAAATTTGGTTAAAATAATAAAAAAATTACTTAAATATATAAATAATTTTTGATTGGGATGAATAATAAATAATAAAATAAACAAATTCAAATAAATACAGAAATAAATTTGATTAATATAAATAAAAAAATCTAACAACGGGGTGCATGGGAAAAGTTTACAGAAAATCAGTGTAAAAACAAAAAAGTAAAAAAATCAATAAATAAAAATAAGATTTTTTTAATTTAAGATTTTATATTTTAGACCTAAATTAATATTTAAATAGATATAAAAAATAACTGAATATAAATAAATAAGTACATAAAAACATATCATTAGAATAAATAAAAATGAGTAAAATAAAAAAAAATAATGTAATTAAAATAAATAATACATCTAACAAGGGACTGCTAGGGGGTCAGTGGAAAATTTTTTTTTCTGAGAAAAGCTATCTTAAAAAAAAGTATTTAACTAATTTAGATGGAAATACAAATATTTTAATATATTTAACACACACACACACTGTATGTTCAGATGGTATCATGATGAAATGTTGGATTTGCAGCTGTAGAGAGACAACAGCTGATGCAGAATTCACTTCTGCAACCCACACTCAGATGTTATAAACAAAAGTAATTAGATCATAGGTTAGGCAAACACGCTGTTATCTAAGAACACAGACTCCAGTGAAAGCGCTGGTGTACTTGAGCGAGGTTAGACTCCCGCTGCTCGGCTCTGATGGACCGCTTTCTCTCGCTAAGCAGGGTTACGCAACCAACAGAAGCAGCAGCACATATGTTCTGCATACAAGTTTGTGTGTGTGTGTGTGTGTGTGTGTTGTGTAAATGTGTTGTGTGTGTGTGTGTTGTGTGAATGTGTTGTGAGTGTGTGTGTGTGTGAGTGTGTGAGAGTGTGTGAGAGAGTGTGTGAGAGTGTGTGTGAGAGTGTGTGTGAGTGTGTGTGAGTGTGTGTGTGTGTGGAAGTGCCTCTGCGTTCTCCATAAACATCTTTATGAGCAGGTAACTCGTTAACATTATAAACACACCGAGCTGAGGTTATTAGCGCTGCGTGAGAGTCTCTATCAGATGGACATGCTACCAATGCTTTACATAACTCAACCAGCATGTGAAGAAAGTTAGATGTGTTGGTTTTTTCAGTAGATGTTTGTTCAGGTGAAGTGAGAGTCTGTATGAGAAGGTATGAGGTTTAGAGCTCATGAAAACTGACAAGAACATGCTTCATCCCATCACAGGAAAGAGACGACTTTGTTCTTACAGAAAATTAAAAGTTTTTAGACCACTTATATTTATTTATTTTGCATTATGACATAAGTTTTATGACAATTAAACACACTGCCCAATTTAATGATAAGTAAAATATTACAGCAACGACACTCATTGAGAATATTAATAAATGACTAAAATTTCAGCAGTTTAATTAAGTGAAATTTATAATTAATGTTATTTGTGACCCTGGAGCATAAAACCAGGCATAAGGGTCAATTTTTCGAAATTGAGATTCATGCATCATCTGGAAGTTGAATTCCATTGATGTATGGTTTGTTATGATAGGACAATATTTGGCCGAGATACAACTATTTGAAAATCTGGAATCTGAGGGTGCAAAAAAATCTAAATATTGAGAAAATCATCTTTAAAGTTGTCCAAATGAAGTTCTTAGCAATGCATATTACTAATCAAAAATTAAGTTTTGATATATTTACAGTAGGAAATTTACAAAATATCTTCATGGAACATGATCTTTACTTAATATCCTAATTTTTGGCATAAAAGAAAAATCAATAATTTTGACCCATACAATGTATTGTTGGTTATTGCTACAAATATACCCCAGCGACTTGAGACTGCTTTTGTGCTCCAGGGTCACATATTATTTTTAATACATTTAACATTGAATGAATGAATGAATAAATAAATTTAGCAATTGCTAAAATATTTAACTTATTAAAAAAGTAAAAAAGAGAATGTGGGTAAATATGCTTAATATTAGTATATGACTACAATTTTTTAGTAAAGTATTTAGTATTTAAAACAAGTAAAATTAAAATTATTCCTCAATATTATATATATAAAAAAAAAAAAACTTTGTTCCTTAATGTAATTTATCATTTCTAATAGGCCTATATTATTTTTATTACAAACAAACAAACAAACATTTTCCTTTGCTTCTCCAGTTGATTTTGGGATGAAATCTGAGCCAGGTCAAACAGCAGTGTGTTTGGACAGTGTTTTGTGTGATCGTGTGTGTGTGTGTGTTTTGTACCTGATATGCGAGTGAGGTACTCCTGACTGTACTCCTTCAGAACCACAAAGACTTCTGGGTATTCCACGATGGTCTTATGCGTCAGGTTTTCCTGCAGACTCTTCATCAGATCCAGCTCCAGATACCTGCCAAAAACACCACCAACAAAGTCAAAGAGGAAAAAGCCCAGCTACTGATGATATTCAATATACATCATGACATAATGGTAATACACTACCAGTCAAAAGTGTGGAATACATTTAAAAAAAAATTTTTTTTAAGAAACATTTTCATTTTCTTCTGCTCACCAAGGCTGTATTTATTTGAGCAAAAAACTGTAAAATTCTGAAATATTATTACTATTTAAAACAGCTGTTTTCTGTGTGAATATCTGTTAAACTGTAATTTATTTCTGTGATGCGCAGCTGTATTTTCAGCATCATTACTCCAGTCTTCAGTGTCACATGATCTTCAGAAATCATAATAATATGCTGATTTGCTGCTCAAGAAACATTTCTGATTATTATCAATGTTGAAAACAGTTGCGCTGCCCGATATTTTTGTGGAAACTGAGATACATTTGATTTTTCAGGATTCGCAGATGAATAGAAAGTTCAGCATTTATTTAAAAATAGAAATCTTTCGTAACATTAGAAATGCCTTTCCTGGCACTTTTGATCCATTTAACGCATCCTCGATCAATAAAAGTATCCATTTCTTTTCCATCACAGAGATAAATTACATTTTCAAATATTTTCAAATAGAAAGCAGTATAATGACACGTGCACATATTACAACATTTCAATATATGACCGATGCCACTGAATCAAAATTCCGAATCAAGAAGTGATTCATTTGAACTGATTCACTGTGATTATATTCCATTCCCATGACATCACGGCTGGAGGTGCGAGAGGAAGCGCTCATGTTTTGGCTCCATAAAAAGCAACTGGAGGCTAAATCCCGCTCACAGCTGGAGACTCGTTCAGCCGAATCTGTAACAGCTCCTGCGTGCCCTTTAGCTTTCTCTCGCATGACATCAGTGAATCCCTGAGGCCTGCAGAGCGCCGTCAATCAGAAATGGAAAAGGAAAACAAGCTGGACAGAGCCAAACCTCACTGGGACGCACGAGGCTTCGGCAAATCCACACAAAACAACAAACAAACGGCCGAAAACCACAGACGAAGCTCACAGTTCAGTTGCATAAGGATTGAGATTTATGGACTAAATTACACAGATACTGCTGACACTGAAACTTACTCAAGTCTATGCAGAAAACAACTAAAAAGCATTCATTTCCAAGGCTATTAATTATTACTTTATTTCGGTGAAGTCTAAAAGTAAAATAAGAATGTGGGTGAATATGCTCAATTGTGACCCTGGAGCACAAAACCAGTCATAAGCTGAATAAATAAGCTTTCATTGATGTAAGGTTTGTTAGGATAGGACAATATTTGGCCGAGATACAACTATTTGAAAATCTGGAATCTGAGGGAGCAAAAAAATCTAAATATTGAGAAAATCATCTTTAAAGTTGTCCAAATGAATTTCTCAGCAATGCATATTACTAATCAAAAATTAAGTTTTGATATATTTACGGTAGGAAATTTACAAAATATCTTCATGGAACATGATCTTTACTTAATATTCCAATGATTTTTGGCATAAAAGAAAAGTGGATAATTTTGACCCATACAATGTATTGTTGGCTATTGCTACAAATATACCCCAGCGACTTGAGACTGCTTTTGTGCTGCAGGGTCACAAATGTCATGAAAATTACTCTCAGTATTTCGCTTAAAACATGCATGGGGTAAATATGCTTAATTGTCACGTAAACCTAAAAAATTCATTTTTTACAAAATATTTTATAATATAATTTATAATTATATTATTAATAAATATAACAAAAAAAAGCAATAATTAAAGCAATAAATAAATAAATTTAGCATTACTACAATTTCTGAGTATTTAGCTTAAAACATGCATGAGGTAAATATGCTTACTTTTCATGTAAAATTGTCCTTAAAATTATAAAAAAATGTTCCTTATGTTAAATTAGAAAATGTATAATAATTAGAGTCAATAATATAAATCTGACATTAAATAAATAACTTTTAACAATTATTTTAAAAAAGTAAAGCATTTAACTTGGAAAAAAAAGCAATTACTCAGTATTTAGCTTAAAATATGTAAATATGTAAATATTTGTGAGTGTGAGTAAATATGCCACGAAAAATATGACTCAAAATTCTGTAAAAAAAAAAAAAATCCTAAAAATTTCCTCTGCAAAATATTATAACAATATATTATTCTTAATATATCTAACACTGAATAAATATTTAGCAATAATAAATACACAAATAAAATGTAGCAGTTACAAAATGTAACATTCTTATGTAGAACAACATTTTAACTTCTAAGTCTCTAAATGATCAACAGGATCAATCTTTTCTGTCTCACTCGATCTCCTCGTGTCTTCTGTCTCTGATTGAGAGTTTAGAGTGTTTTATCCAGTAAAAGCTCTTTTAGTGTAATTGTAGAAACATCCAGCTTCAGCTCGAGCTTCTCGTGTCAAATCTTGACTGGTTTTTATCAAGTAAGCGTCAGAATAACTGCAGTAATATCTCCAGATGAACACTTACTGGACTGAAGCAGCTCAGCTTTACTTGATTCTCCATCAATCATGTTTTAGAGAAAGTAAAACATTTTAATTTGGAAAAAAAAAGCAATTACTCAGTATTTAGCTTAAAATATGTAAATATGTAAATATTTGTGAGTGTGAGTAAATATGCCACGAAAAATATGACTCAAAATTCTGTAAAAAAAAAAAAATCCTAAAAATTTCCTCTGCAAAATATTATAACAATATATTATTCTTAATATATCTAACACTGAATAAATATTTAGCAATAATAAATACACAAATAAAATGTAGCAGTTACAAAATGTAACATTCTTATGTAGAACAACATTTTAACTTCTAAGTCTCTAAATGATCAACAGGATCAATCTTTTCTGTCTCACTCGATCGCCTCGTGTCTTCTGTCATCTGATTGATAGTTTAGAGGTTTTATCCAGTCAAAGTTCTTTTAGTGTAAATGTACAAACGCCCAGCTTCAGCTGGAGCTTCTCGTGTCAAATCTTGACTGGTTTTTATCAAGTAAGCGTCAGAATAACTGCAGTAATATCTCCAGATGAACACTTACTGGACTGAAGCAGCTCAGCTTTACTTGATTCTCCATCAATCATGTTTTAGAGTCTCAAATCTAATCCTCAGGATCTTTTGAGGAGCGTTTGTTTCCAGAAGCTTTACTTTCACTGTTCCTCAGCGGAGGAATGATCTTCACAAGCCTCCAGAACATCTCACATCTTCTGAGGAGCCGTTATTTCTTCAGCTCTCAATCACTGCATTATATGTTCGGAGCATTTCAATCTCATCTTATTAAGACATATAATTGCAGATATAGAGCGACCACTGATATTTAGATCATTTTATGTCAGTGTCTGCTGCATTGATTAATCAAGGTTCATTTTAATTTCAAACGAACACTGAAGACGAGTCCTGCATTTACACATGAACAGCAAGCTAGATTAATACATGCTGTACTAAACTGTTAGTTCAAGATGGAAACAGTCTATTTGCGGAGTAAATATTAACCGTGAGCGATGAAAGCCGCTTTTGAGCTTTCAGTAAAGAGATGTTTGTGGTGAAGGACTGAAACGCTCAACAAAACAAACCGTTTTCACACGAGAGACAGATGATAATGGCATGTCATAAAACACTCATCTGCTCATATACTGATCGACATGTTATGGAAAATGTTTTAAGCTCAGGTTAAATCGCACCGTCTGTCTTTAACGCAGGAAAAACTGGAGGTGAACGCAGAAATCACTCAAGTGTTTGCAGGACAGAATCACGTCATGCAGACGTCTGAACGCCAGGCGCTTCGACTGAGATGTGTGTTCAGCCATCAGAACCGTATCTGCTAACATCTCCATCTGGTGACATTTGGACTTCAAATATCTGCATATGCAATGCAGACGATATATATATATATATATTAGGGATGTAACGATTCACTCAACTCACGATTTTTTTTTTTTTAACAAAATGAGATTTAAGACAAATTATAAATAAATGTGTCCTTTATTATTAGACAAATTATTGCTTGGACAAAATGCTGCATGTTTCTTTGTGAAATTAAAATATAACACTATAATAATATACTAATATAGCACTTGCATATTATTGCTCTTTGTAAGTCGCTTTGGATAAAAGCTTCTGCTAAATGACAAAATTTTAATATAATGTAAATGTAAATAACAAACTAAATTAAAATTTTAAAGCAAATCATAAAATAAGTAACACAAATAAAATAAATCTCTTCATATAACAAAATAAGGCTTTGTCTGTGCTCTTAACATTTAAAATGAGAGGCAACCACTGCATTTTAATCATGATCCAAACAAAGATGCTGCATACATGCAACATGAGCAGTTTTTAATCTAAATTACATTGTATCATTTCGAAATTTGAAGCAAAAACAGAATGGTTTGACTTAAGTTTTGTGAAACTATAAATAAAAATATCTGCATGAAACAGAAACAGCAGACGAGCTGAACGAGACGCAGATTCACTCTCTGCCA